AAGATGGCAGGAGACAAGCTAAAATATAACAATAATTACAATAAGTATAAATGGGACAGTTTTACAATAAGTGTGAAAGACAAAGACTTTCAGAAAAGATTTTATAAGCCAGTAATATGTCATTTATAATAGGCTCACTTACAACAAAGGACCAAAAGATTAAAAATAAGGCAAGGCCACCCAGTCAGCATGACTCAGTGATTGAGTGTCAACCTATGAACCAGGAAGTCACAGTTCAATTCCCGGTCAGGACATATGCCTGGGTTGTAGGCTGGATTCCTGGTATGGGGCATGCAGAAGGCAGCCAATCAATGAGTCTCTCTCATCATTGATATTTCTTTTTATATATATATATATATATATATATATATATTTTATTGATTTTTTACAGAGAGGAAGGGAGAGAGATAGAGAGTTAGAAACATCGATGAGAGAGAAACATCAATCAGCTGCCTCCTGCACATCTCCTACTGGGGATTTGCCCGCAACCCAGGTACATGCCCTTGACCGGAATCGAACCTGGGACCTTTCAGTCCACAAGCCGACGCTCTATCCACTGAGCCAAACCAGTTTCGGCTATCATTGATATTTCTATCTCTCTCTCCCTCTCCCTCTCTGAAATCAATAAAAAAAATATATTTAAAAAAAGAAAAATAAGACAAGGCCTCTTATGTTGAGTCATTGGATAAAATTCCTGGTGTCCATGAACTTGGAAGGAAAAAATGTCTTTATTTTCACTAACCTCTAATTAAAATTTAGCATTCCTGTCAGTTATAAGTGTTGACAACAAGTTACAGAAATATAAGCAGTACCTGTGATTTTGTCACCCATAAAATCATAAATATTTTCATATCACTTTATTGCATCATCTCAAAATATATTTTACTCCTATCCCCCTCCTCCCTCCCTTCCACTCTCTCTAGAAATCAATGGGAAAAAATATCCTCAGGTGAGGATTTTTAAAAAAGTATATAATGATCAATCACATAAATGCATCTAACAATATATAGTGCTTCAAAAATATAAAGCAACAACTGATAGGAATACATGAAAATACACACACATATATAAAATGAATAGTTGAGTTGGAGATTTTTTTTTTAATTAAATCTTTATTGTTCAGATTATTACATTTGTTCCTCTTTTTTCCCCCCATAACTCCCCTCCTCCCAGTTCCCGCCCCACCCTCCACCCTCACTCCCCACCCACTGTCCTCATCCATAGGTGCACGATTTTTGTCCAGTCTCTTCCCGCATCTCCCACACCCCTTTCCCCCCCAAGAATAGTCAGTCCATTCCCTTTCTATGTCCCTGATTCTATTATGATCACCAGATTATTTATTCACTTGATTCTTAGATTCACTTGTTGATAGATGCATATTTGTTGTTCATAATTTGTATCTTTACCCTTTTCTTCTTCTTCCTCTTCTTAAAGGATACCTTTCAGCATTTCATATAATCCTGGTTTGGTGGTGATGAACTCCTTTAGCTTTTCCTTATCTGTGAAGCTCTTTATCTGACCTTCAATTCTGAATGATAGCTTTGCTGGATAAAGTAATCTTGGTTGTAGGTTCTTGGTATTCATCACTTTGAATATTTCTTGCCACTCCCTCCTGGCCTGCAAAGTTTCTGTTGAGAAATCAGCTGACAGTCGTATGGGTATTCCCTTGTAGGTAACTGGGTTTCTTTCTCTTGCTGCTTTTAAGATTCTCTCTTTGTCTTTTGCTCTTGGCATTTTAATTATGATGTGTCTTGGTGTGGTCCTCTTTGGATTCCTTTGTTTGGGGTTCTCTGCGCTTCCTGGACCTGTAAGTCTATTTCTTTCACCAGGTGGGGGAAGTTTTCTGTCATTATTTCTTCAAATAGGTTTTCAATATCTTGCTCTCTCTCTTCTTCTGGCACCCCTATAATTCTGATGTTGGTACGCTTGAAGTTGTCCCAGAGGCTCCTTACACTATCTTTGTATTTTCGGATTCTTTTTTCATTTTGGTTTTCCGGTTGGGTGTTTTTTGCTTCTTCGCGTTTTGAATCTTTGACTTGATTCTTGCGCTCCTCTGGTCTGCTGTTGGGTGTCTGTATAATATTCTTTATTTCAGTCAGTGTATGCTTAATTTCTAGTTGGTTCTTTATCACAACATCGAGGGTCTCATTAGATTTCTTGAGGATCTCACTACATTTATCGGCGGTCTCACCAGTCTTTTCGAAGGCCTTACTAAGTTTATCGGCAGCTTCTAGACAGTTCTTGAGAGACCTTAAAAGTGTGGTTTTGAGCTCTATATCTTCCATTTCTGACATTTGTGTCCTGTTTCTTTGTCTCCGCATTTTTTAATCTTTTCTTGGTGCACCCCCTAGTGGTCTTTGTGGGCAGTCTTGTTGTAGTTAAGCCTTGATTGTCGGCAATACCAGCGGTGATTTGACCTCCAGGCTAACTGGCTATGAGAGTCAGCTGTGTCTGCAGTGGGAGAACTTCTGTCGAGTTGGAGATTTTAACAAACTTCTTCAGTATCTATCTTAGGGTGAAGATTACATGAAATCATTCAAATCATGCATTTAGCATAGGCCCTGGCACATGGAAAGCTCTAAATCAGAGTGAGCTGCTATCATGGATAACTGTTCCTTGAATGAGTAAGCAAATGAATGGTATCTGAGCTCTAACACGGAGACTCTGGGTGGTTCTTCTCACAGAGGAAAGGCCGGGGGTGGGCATGGGGAGGGGTTTAGAGCCTTGACAATCTCCACCACTCAAAACATCTTCCTCAGATATCCCTATTCTTTGGGCTGGATAATGAATGCCTTAATTTTCTGTAGGCAGGAGATTAAAGCAATGTTTAGAACATTGTTAGTATTATTGGTCTATAACTTAGCTCAGGGGTCCTCAAACTTTTAAACAGGGGGCCAGTTCACTGTCCCTCAGACCGTTGGAGGGCCGGACTACAGTTTAAAAAAAAACTATGAACAAATTCCTATGCACACTGCACATATCTTATTTTGAAGTAAAAAAACAAAACGGGAACAAATACACTATTTGTATTTGCATGTGGCCCGCGGGCCATAGTTTGAGGACCCCTGACTTAGCTCTAAGCAAGTTTCCAGGCCCACTCTCCCCTTCCATCCAGATGGCCCAAGCCCCTTCTGTAAGGATTCTGGAACCACCGCTGTCTCTAAAGGTACATATCGCTAGGTTTGCAATGGGCACTGTCCCCATTTATGACCTTGTGAAGGTAATGAGCTCTGAAGGTGCCAAAGGCCACTATTAGCCTGGAGGTGATCAAAGTTCCCCTGGCATAGGGAGCCTGGATAGGGCTGGGCTGAGAAGGCATGAGTCAAGACAGGGCAGGGGACAGGAACAGGACTGCATGTTGAGGTATCTGATAGGCCTGGCCGGCCAGCAGGGCCCTACAATCCTCTTCCCAGTTGTAATTATACTTAACTGAGATTATTAGAATTATTCCCATGTCGAGCGGGCACACATGGAGCCAGGACATCCTTCACTTTCTTTGCTAGGTCTGGGTGGGGAGGGGCCGTCAGGATGCCTGGACAGTGCAGGGACAGAGGCAGGGGGCATCCCCCCTGGTTCTTCGCCAGCCCTGCCTCAGATCAGGAAACTGGTCTAGATGTCGAAGATACAGATCCGGGAGAAACACACGAGAGCGGGGGGGTGGAACCAGCTGCTTCTCTGAGGGCTGGGTGTTTGGGAAGAAGGTGAAGAAATCTGAAGGGCATGGGTTTTGGGAAGGGAGGAGGAAATGAGGCAAACTTGCCCAGCTCTACGGAGGCCCAGCTCAGTCTCTCTGTGATTAAGAGCTCAGGGCACAGGAGCCAGGCAGCAGAACACAGAGATGTCAGCATACAGGACATGGAGATGTTGCCTCACTTCCTCCCACCCCCTGCTCCTCCCACTTCCCCTCCCCTCCCCCACCCCACCCAAACCCTCAGAGAAGCCACTGATTCAATCCTCGCTGAGGGTCTGGGGACATTTGGATGCCTCTGGACACCCTAGCTGGTGTTCTGCCCTCCCTACGTCACTCACTGACAATAGCCCAATTTTCATGGCGTCACAAAGAGTGGTCACATCATGATGTCCCAGGATCCTCCAACCATGCTTGCTCTACACACATTATCTCATTCAATCCTAACTCTGCCAGATACCATTAGTGAATCCATTTTACAGATGGAAAAACTGACCTTAGAGAGGTGGTATTACCGTCCCAAGGTGATATGATATGGCTTCCCAAGGTTAATGGCATATCTGCAACTCAAATTAGGGTCTGCTAAATGCATCACTGCCCCTGAGAGGGTTAACTTGAAATGCAGGCAGATCCGGTCAAGGGCATGTACCTGGATTGCGGGCACATCCCCAGTAGGAGATGTGCAGGAGGCAGCTGATCGATGTTGCTCTCTCATTGATGTTTCTAACTCTCTATCTCTCTCCCTTCCTCTCTGTAAAAAATCAATAAAATATATATATATTTTTTTCATTTATAATACTTACACTAAGGAAATGACAAGGCAGAAAAACAAATTTCACCTTTAAAAAAATTAAAAACACAACACAATTCAAGAAATCTACTTTCATCTCAATAGAGATTACTTCAGAATGAACAGAATCATTCTGTACTATTTGCAGTTGTGCAGGAAACCAAACAGTGAAGCATCTTTCCTTAACATCCTCCACAGACTTTTATATTTCTATCACACATGTCTAATCTCTTTCCTCAACTGTGTATATACTGCACATAATACTACCCTAGATTTAAGAGCAGTGACCATATGAAAACATTTTCTTACCTATGAAGAATACAGCCACTTCTGAACACACCATAGCCTTATATTTTAAACCCAAGTTAGTGTCTGGAGAAGAAAGTTTTCATAAATTATTCATGACCTGATTCTATTTCTTAAAGTTTCAGCAAATGTAAAAAAAAAAAAAAAAAAACATCTTGACGTCTTGTTAATTGTCAATTCATGATGTTATGAGAAAAAAAAAATGCGTTCTTCCACAGAACAAGTGGTTTTGGAGAACAGTTCTGAGAGTATTTCAAAGTATCAAAAGGTCTGATAGGTGGCCTCCTTGGTGGGGGGAGGGGGGCGGGGAGATGATTACAATAATTTCAATTTCTCTTCTGAATTGCTCAGTAGCCCCACGTGATTTTTATATTGGGAGGCAGATTGCTGGCCACAAGGTCATCAAATTTAGATCCATCCTGAACAGGCAGGTTATAGAACTCGAGGACATCCCTGACCCTGCACATCTCATGGAGCCTGGAGTTAGGCTCTGCGTGGCCCAAGCCGTCAGCTAAACGTGCCAAGAAACTGAACGTCAGGCGCCCGTCTTCCAGGGAGATGTCCTGCCAACTGCTAGGAGCAGATGAGCCAAAAATGTCTTGGACGCTCGATTGCAAACGGCTCTGGAGATCTTCAGGAGATACGTACGTTCGGCTGCGTAAGGGCGGGCACGCCAGGACGGGTTCTGTCTTCACCTCCTCTACCGCCTCAGCCACCACTGGCTTTTTCTGTTCTCTGAATCGAGACCAAAATTCTCGACGTGGGACGCCTGCGATGATCCACGTGAGGCCTTTTCTCCAAACGCCGGGTACTGAGACCGCTGCCATCTCTGTGGAGCAATAAAATATATTTAAAAAAAGAAAGAAAGAAAGAAATGCAGGCAGATAGGGCAGGGCTCCAGGGGAAAACAAAGGCAGGTGAATCACAGGCAGGGACAGACATGGGAGTTTGAGCAGCCTAACCACAGGAACCAAACAAGCAGAAATCATAAAATGTTTCTGGACTCAAAGCAGGAGGCATGGGAAACCAAGGGGGAGCTCGCAGTAAACAAATGTACAAACACATAGAAATAGAAAAAGTTCAGCACAGGCACAGAGAAAGAACACATAGAAACAGGGAAAATTTAGGTCCGTTGTTGAGCCAGAACAATTGAGGGAATCAATCGGGTGATGACACACATAGACATAGAAGCAGGCTTGTGGCAAATATATACCCCTGGACCACAGGGCTTTCACGGGCAGCCCACGATCGGGTCTCCCTCCCCTTGCGGGGAGTCTGAATCTGCTTGTAATAAATTTTCCACACTTGGCTTAAATCTTCTGGTCTGATAGCTCATTCTTTTTTTTTTTTAATATATATTTTATTGATTTTTTACAGAGAGGAAGGGAGAGGGATAGAGAGCTAGAAACATCCATGAGAGAGACGAATCAGCTGCCTCCTGCACGCCCCCCACTGGGGATGTGCCCGCAACCAAGGTACATGCCCTTGACCAGAATCGAAGCCGGGACCTTTCAGTCCGCAGGCCGACGCTCTATCCACTGAGCCAAACCAGTTCGGCATGATAGCTCATTCTTCAGCATCGCAAACGCCTCGGCTCACCGTTCGGGTTATCATCCCCGCCGCAGAGAGGAGGAAACTAGCTGAGAGGTCAAGAACCTGTCTACAGGTGTCCATGTGGAACGTGGTGAAGCCAGGATGCAAACCCATTTCTTTTTCCACCACCCCAATATTTGTTTTGCCTGAGAGATGATCTCAGAGGTTCCCTCCAGCTGAGATACTTTTAAAAGGTGTATGTATTCCTATTGATCTCGGAGAGGAAGGGAGAGGGAGAGAGAAACAATGATGAGAGAGAACCATTGCTTAGCTGCCTCCTGCACATCCCCTACTGGGTGGGGATCAAGCCCCCCCCGCACCCCCCCCCCCGACAGGAATCGAACACAGGGCCTTTCGGTTCCTAGGCCGAAGCTCTGTGCACGGGGCCAAACCGGCGGGGGCCAGCTGGGGTGCTTTTCAAATCTGGGTTGAGACAGGAACCCGTTCAGAGGTCGCCCCAGGTGAAAATGAAGAAGTAGCTTGGTCTCACGCCCTCGCTCAGGAAACCAGTGTAGCTGCCCCGGCCCTGCCCTTTCAGCTCCATCCCTTCCCTCGGCGAAGGCCGAAGGCCGAAGGCGAGACCCTGTCCCCGCACCAGCAGGACTTCCGAGCCCTCCCTCCGACCCACCCCGCGGCGACTTCTCTAAGGAGAGTGTCCACGGTCCCCTGGCCCACCGCCCGGCCGTGTGTCAGCAGCGAGCGGGTCCCAGGAAGAGCGTGAGCCACGCGCGGGCAGTCACGTCCGGACACCCCCCACACTTCCCCTCCCCCTCCCCCTCCCCTCCCCCTCCCCCTCCCCTCCCCCTCCCCCTCCCCTCCCCCTCCCCCTCCCCTCCCCCTCCCCCTCCACACCCGGGGGCGGGGCGGCTCCGCCCCCTGCGCGGGCCCCGCCCGCTTCTCCGGAGGAGCGTCCGGGAGCCTCCGGGCGGGGATCCACCCCGCGGGGAGGAGCCGCCCCGGGAAGTGGGGACGCAGCCCAGCCGCCACCTCCCCTGTCCGCTCCGCTAGCCCCCGGGGACCGACATGGCCCAGAAGCGTCCTGCCTGCGCCCTGGACCCCGAGGACATCCAGCTGCTGGTGCTCTGCTCCCAGGAGGCCAAGAAGTCCGCGTACTGTCCTTACAGCCACTTCCCCGTGGGGGCCGCCCTCCTCACCCGCGACGGCAAGATCTTCTTAGGTAAGGGCCAGGGAGACGGCCCCCGGGGGACCCCCCGAGACGGCCTCTGGGGGTGAGAGGAGGGACAGCGGGAAGGGGTGGACGCTCCAGACGGTAAGAGCCCAGCTCTGCCCCCCTCTTGGCTGAGTCTCCCCTGTAGTGCCACTCGCCCCTGCCCTGCCCAGTGTCCCAGACGGTGGGCGTGAAGGTGCTGCTCAAATCTAGGGGCTTTCAGAGCCCGGGAGACCGGAAGGAGGAAGCGGGAGGGGGAGGTGCGGCCAGCTGGCCCGGCCATGGCACGCTCAGCTCCAGGGCGCCTTGTGTGCCACGCCAGCTCCGCCTGGTTCAGCGGCCCTGAGAGGGGCCGGTGAAGGAGTGAGAAAGGACAGACAGGAGAATAAAAGCTGGGTCTGGGTGGGGTGCTGCTCCCGGATGGAGAGACCCCGCCACCCTGTCTTTATTTTATAGCAGATTTCACCAGGCAAAGTAAGGGCGTGGTCAAGATGTTTGCAACAGTCTCATTGGTTTCGATTCCACGCAACTACATGCATCTGAACTCTATCAAGTCCACATCACTCAAGCACGTGGTGTCCTGAGGATAGGTTCAAGCTTACAGCTGTAGCCGCTGGCTTTAATTGTGCTGGGAGGGCTCTGCCCTCCGAGCTGGGGCTTGCACGTGCCCTCTCATGAGTCGGAGGCTTGAACCTGTCCAAACACGGTAGCCGCTCTCCACAGGGAAGGAAGCTGGAAGGGAAGGGGAGAATCAAGAGCATCAGCCGTCGTGGGTGCTGGGAGGAAGGGTAACTGTTTGAGCCCTCCTCTGGGTCCTGCACCTGCTAGGGCTTCCGCAAGTTACATCAGCAGTAGGTGGTATGCCCACTTCTCAGGGGAGAAACTGAGGCCCAGGGAGGTGACATGACTTGTTCAAGGTCACCCGGGGCGCTGGAGGTGGAAGCCAGGGCTGGGATTCCCCAAATCCTGATTTCTTCTTGCCACCCTCCGTGCTGGGAGATGGCTGTAGGCAAAGCAAGGAACCCGGATGGGGCGACTTGTTAATGAATGGGGTGCAGAGGGTCTTGGAGGAAAGAAGCGGGGCGGGGGGCGGGGGGGGGGGTGTTGCGTGACCAGCAATGAATGGCAGCCTGGGGAGGTGGGCACCGGAATCTGAGTTAGTTAGCACTAAGCTCTTTTTCTTTGGCTTGTTGGTTGGATAGAAAAGCTCACTTGAGCAAAAATTCAAACTTGTTTTTGCTAAGCGAGGGGCATTCTCCTTCAGGGCAGTGGGGAAGGTGGTGTGGAGGTGGCAGAGAAGCCATGCCCCCTCCACCCGTGCCATCTCCACCACCACTCAGAGGGCAGGTGACAATTGGCACAGAGGGACGAAGGGACTGCCCCGTCCTGCTGCCTGGAATTCCCCCCCCCCCCTTGGCGACAGCTATTTAAAGGACCGGAGGCCCACACTTGTACGTCTGTCTAATCCAGGGGTCCTCAAACTTTTTAAACGGGAGGGCCAGTTCACTGTCCCTCAGACCGTTGGAGGGCCGGACGATAGTTTAAAAAAAAACTATGAACAAATTCCTGTGCACACTGCACATATCTTATTTTGAAGTAAAAAAAACAAAACGGGAACAAATACAATATTTGTATTTGCATGTGGCCCACAGGCCATAGTTTGAGGACCCCTGAAGCAGCCCCAGGGCAGGTGTGAGCCACTCCTCCCTCGACTGCTCAGCTCTGCGTCCAGCCGGGGCCCACACCTCCCCTTCTGTAGCACTGTTCTCCTGTTATTTCTTATCTTTTGAGGTTCTGTGTGGGGTTCATGAGTCACCTGGGTCTTAAACATCTTTGAACAGGAAAAGTAACCTTGCGTGAGGGCTGGTGTGCGAAAGGCCGGAGGCTAGTGTTATCCATCTCACCCTTACAACTCTTCAAGGCAGTTAGCTATTACAGCACCGCAGAGCAGGGAACAGAAGCCCAAGATCACAGAGCTGGGATTGGATCTCAGAGTTCCCCTGGCTCCCACGCCTGCTACTCCATAGGGAATAAAGAATCGTGTGGAGCCGAAACCGGTTTGGCTCAGTGGATAGAGCGTCGGCCTGCGGACTGAAAGGTCCCAGGTTCGATTCCGGTCAAGGGCATGTACCTGGGTTGCGGGCACATCCCCAGTAGGAGATGTGCAGGAGGCAGCTGATTGATGTTTCTCTCTCATTGATGTTTCTAACTCTCTATCTCTCTCCCCTCCTCTCTGTAAAAAATCAATAATATATATATATATAAAAAAAAAAAAAAAAAAAAAGAATCGTGTGGAAATTCAGGCTGGCCTGGTGACTCAGATGAGTACTAAACATTAACCACCACCACAAGCAACATTGCAACCCACACTGCCCCATGGCACCAGGGCCTTGAACATGGAATCGGCCACTGATCCTTCCCAGTGCCTCCACATTTTCTCTTCATCCTTTCATTGGTTGATTTAGTCAACAAACATTTGCCAAGCACCAGTTATGTGCTAGGTAATGTACCGGGAGCCGGGAATAGCACTGTGCGCAGAAACGGCATGGTCCTTGCATCCAGGGAGGTCCCCTCCTCTTGTACAGCCACAACCAATGATTGTAGGAGTGAATGAATGAGGGGAGCGGAAAGTAGTAGATTATTTAAATTGCAGGGAAGGACCTGGTATCACTAGAGAAGGGGCTGTGCCCTGGGGATGGAGGGAGGTCCTCCGATAGGCTGAAGGCTCTGAAGTTGGAGGCTCCTGCATTTGAATCCTGGTGCTTCTGTTTATCAGCTGTGTCCCCCCAGGACACAGCTTGAGCCTTCTGAGTCTCCGCTTACATTTGTACACTGGGGGTCATAATGGCCGGGTTTCAGGATGGCTGTGATCAGAGCTAGCTTGCTTGGCCCGGTGTGGCAGCCAAGGTCTTCCCTGATTGTGGGTGCCCGTCTGCCTCTGTCACTGACAGTGTTGAATCTCTCCCCTGATTGTGAGGCTTTAAAGGAGCTAATGCCCATAACGTGATTGGCAGTTTCTGGCTGGCAATAAGAAGTTCACAATGGTGGCCATTTCTACCGCTGCTGTTGACAGTGTGATGAAAGTGATGATA